GACTCGGTTAGGTCTGCTGACTGGACAGACTGGATAGCTATCGTTCACTTTCTCAGTGGGAACACTAATTTCTTATTTACCAGTCATCCTTTTTCAAAGATTAGGTTTGTATGAGTATTAGGAAATTTCTGTTCTTCTCTTGAATTTGGATTAATTGAAAAGCACGTGCAAAAGTTGTTAGGGTAGGGCATAAAAGAGCATGATCTCATCAGCCTCCTCTACTTAGGAAACCAGGCTTTAAAAAAAATTAAATAATAAAAAAAAAATCAGTCAGCAGAGAAAGTCTCAATCTTGAAGCTTCAGAAAGGAATAAAACCCGCACCAGCCAGTTTTTCTGCCTTTCTGCAAGTATCTTGGTGACCTCATTGCATTACCTTCTGCTAGGCTAGCTGAAGTTTACAGGAATACTCAGAGTGACTGTCTTTGTGCAGATACTGGAAAACTTGCAAAATGGCCACTCCAGGTTACTACCCCCTAGCCTGTACTTGGTTCCGAGAAGCTTAGACGTTTGTATTTCTGCTTCAGTGAAGATCACACCCAGAACCATCATGTGCAGGCATACAGAGCCTTAAAACAACAAAAACCCCCCACACCCAAGCCCATGCTTTGTTCTACTTCTATTTAGATGCTTGTTTGGACAGACTGAGGGCACAGGTCATTATTTATGTAAGCTGGTTTATGCATTTTATTTTATGTTTTAGATAAAACACGATAACAAAATACACTTTTTCTCAGCATCACCAGTGTAATGCCTTTTTGTATTCCTGCAGTCCATAAGTTGATCCTCCTACTTGCAAGGCAAAAAAGGCTCCCTCAGCGTACGCTGAGAAAACACACAGCTCCCATTTCACCAGGCCAAACGCCCTCCGCTATAAAATCTTTACAATCCTTGACATCAGAGATTAATTACATCTCTTCTGGGTGAGCTACAAGTGAAACTGGTCCTTCAGTACTAACGTATTTTAAAGAACAGTGATAAAATAGTAGCCAACAAGTTAAAAAAGCCTCTCCTGAAAACATGCGTTGCTCCAACATTCCACGGTCAGCGCAACAAAAACATACAGAGCACTTTTACGTACAATGGCTGCAAGCTTTTAGTACAAAACTCAGTTGACCTTGTACCCGCACTTTGAACTGCTCAACTCATATTGTAATAAGATGGTTAACTAGCTATAAAGTGATATTTAATCATGGGGCCATATTTTATAGTTTACAGGATGTTAAATTGGAAAATATTTTGTTAGAACTGACTTAAGAATGAAAAAAAAAAAAGGAATAAACTTTTATTGAAAAATATATGGCAACTTATACCTTAGCTGTAATTTAAAAATAAGATTTTTAGAGGATTATTCTGAATAGTACATTAAAGCAGCTTTAATTTAAACAGGCAATAGCAGTGGTCCCTGAAAAAAAGTGCTACTGGTTTAGAAGGACCTGAATAAGTAACAAAAATGTTTTCATAAATGGCGAATTCAAATTTCTTAGTGCAAGCTTTAGAAAAGATTGCGTCAGAAATGCAAACTTGCATCATTCACGTACACCACCTCAAACATTGAAGTCTGGGGATTTGGTTTTGCATGGAAGTGTAAACGTATTCAAGGGTTTGAAGCCATTATTATCACAATATGGTTTGAATCAAACTAATAGCTTGCTGCTGCTAAAACAGTGAAATTTGGCTTCCTCTCCGTACACTCCTCCTCCCTCCCAGCTTCGGACTGTTTGCTTTAGCTGCTCTCCTTGGTCTGGCGCTGGCACTCACCTGACTGCACGGCACATTGACAGCCCTCACATTTGGGGAATCTCAGTTCTGGCTCTGCCAGAGACTGTCTTTGTTCCTAGCCCTTCGATGTGCTTAGGAAAAAAAACCAAACCAAACCAAACGGGGAAAGTTGATGACATGATTAATCTAGCTCCAGCTGTCTGCTGCCACTGTCCAAACAGTGTCCAAACAGAAAACCCTTGAGTTTCTGCAGGCATAGAATTACTGGGTCAGCTTAAGGTTAAGAATAATTTTAAGATAGGGAAATTAGCTTTTAGTTTCTTAAAGGTGAAATGGAGAAAAAAAAGAGGTTGAACTAGAGGATCTCCAGAGGAGCCTTCCCACATCCGTGATTCCCTGATTTAGCCTGGTGGTTTCTTCCCATTGGATGGCAGCCAGTGAGGGAGCTACCGGGGAGAGGATGGATAGATAAGCTCCTGTTACACCACAATGAGCCACAGGAAAAGGAAGTAGAAAAGGCTACACTTTGTGTAAATAAACTTGTGCTTTTAAGGAAACCATTTGAAATGATTACGTTCCTACTTAGTAGCAAATTACACCTCCCTTTCTGAAAAATATTAAGAGCTAATCAAGCTAAAATTATTTCTAAGGTCATATTTCATTTTATTCCATCTTACTTTCTTACCCAGATGCAAAAATCAATTGATTATTCTATCAATAAAATATTTAGAAATTTTAGTAGCTGAGCAGTTTGTGGTACCACTGAAAACAGTCTATCAGTGGAAGTTCTTACTTCACTTTACCCCACTATTTCATAGCACACATCAGCTAGACCTCAGAACTGTCCTGAGGAACTTTTATCTCCACAGAGACAGACAAAGCCTGCACGCCAGGAGAACATCATAGACTCCAACTCAGACTCTGCACCACGCTAATGCTGTTTTCCTCTTTTTACTGAACCCAGGATGATAAAACCTAGAAGAATCTCTCCCATCAGGTGCACTCTAAGCCAGGAGTATGTTTGGGAGCTCTAGTGAACAGTACAGTTGAGGGCTTGAAATTAAATACAATGCTAAGAGCTAAAACAGTGTGTATTTCATTTTCTGCAGTGGCTTCCTTTCCGATTCATGGCTCTTAGCACTACAGATACCTTAAAAACTTCCCACGCGGCTACAGACCACACATGATTCAAGGCAGGGTTGCCTTTGTCAGCCTTCCAGCAGTAGGCTGCACAGAACTGACACAAATCCCTCAAAGACATCTGATTTGGGAGATCATTTAGGTTTGCCCTTGCCAGTTCTTGGGCACAACATAAATGGTTTTGGCTTATATTACATAGCTTGTTATTTATAAATGTGTTATTTTCTGTACTTAGATAGCAGAGGTGATACCTCTGGTTCCTTAACGGTGTTTGTTTTGGGTAGTTCCATGCAAGACAAGGACTCTGCAAACCAATACAATAAATGTCTTGTCCTTCCCTAGACAAACAGATCATTCTTTCATCACACAACCACGCTGAAGATTAAGTACTCTTCAGTACTTCACTTGCATTTAATATTTAGGCGTCAGATAAAGGCACTCCTGGTAATAAAGAGAAAGCTGTTTCCCACCACGGAATAACTCTTTAATCCATAATTCACAAAATCTTAGTGACCAGCGTTGAGTACACAAGTCAGGAAAGTACTAAAGGCTATGGAAAAAACTTCCCAAAAGGAACACCTAAGCTGTCTCAATTAATCATTGTAACAGAACTCTTTTCTCTAAGTATTCAAATAGTAATAATTTAGTATTCATTGAGTTTTGTTGCCTTATTTTATCAATTACATCAGGAATATATGGCTGATGCTGGGACAGAACCAGCATAAAAATGAAAAAACGCAGCACCTCAGAGCTTATTAATAGCCTTTAAAATTATAAGAGATCTGACACTAAATAAATAATATCTACACTTGATGGTATCTAGGAACTGCTCTGCAAAAACTAGCTTTCATATTTGGCTTGTAACCAAAAGAATGCGTGACTTAACAATAACTGGGTGTAGGAGAAAACCCTCCACTGGTGCTGTGTGAGAGAGACAAACACAAGTACGGACTTCTTTTAACAAACAGAAAAGTGTGGACACGTCAATGAAACTCTTAGTGATGAGTCATAAAGAGACTGAAATGTAGCAGCCCAAGACTGAAAGTTAGCTAAGACTCAATGAAACACATGCATCCAGGAACATCAAGTTCAGATTATCTTTGCAACTCCTAAAAGAATTTCTATCCTACACTAGAATTTAATAAATACTAATATATCTGCTTTCCCTTACCTCTAATCAAAGATGCTTGTACACTAATTTAATGCTAAAATTAGCAATTTTAAACTACAGATGTAGTTCTCCATAGGTTTTTATGTTTTAAAATTTTAATCTCAGGTTATAGAAAAAATTTCAACAATTTTCTTAGGTTCTTACTCTTCCTGCAAGAAGTAACTTTTTGGAAAAATAAGCCATTACCACGGTATCCTCCCACTGCCCAGGAGTAAGAAGGAATGAACTGGAAGGGAGAAAAGAAGGTGAAAATAGTCTTTTGCACAATAAACTTATTTTTTTCAACCTTGAATAACGTGGTGCTTACTAAAAATTACTAGGATATTTCTTTGCTATATGTTTTCAAAAACATCTAATTAGCTAGGAGCTTTCAAACCTAGGAGTTGCCACGTGTCATAGCGTGTAATTAACATTTTTTAAAATCCAGTTAGTGCAACCAAGCCAGAAGTGGCAATACCTTGCTTAGTTCTAGGCAAGCTACATTTCTGTGTTACATTATTTTCCATGCCTGTGTATAAACTTTTTGAATAGAGGTGAGAAAGTTAAAAAAAATAATTGTATAGTACTACAGAGAAGCAGCATGACCGAGGAAGGTGCACTGAGCATGGTTTTACATTAATGAATTATCATCACCATTTTAAACAGAAACAGAATTGAGTCTGGACAGTCCATACAAAGCACAGACATTCATAACCTCCCCGTTCATGACTGCCCTTAATTTAACTTCTACGTTGCAGAGACTTTCCATTCAGAATTTAACATTTGGTTTATCACGGTTTATGTAATAGAGATCAAAAGCTATTCTCAGAAAATATTCATACTGGACCTCAAAGAAATAGACGTTACTGGGATTGTCCTGGATTAGTTCTCTGACCCCTTTAATTTTTTTGTTTGTTTGTTTTTGTTTTGCTTATGATTTAGGGTGACAAGCCTCTAACTGAAGGTTGTTTTTGGTTTTTTTTATTGTAGCCTGGAAGGGTTGTGACTCTGGTTGAAGATCCTGAGGTATAGTACTCCTGTTCTGCCTCTGTAATGTACAGAATGCCCTGTTGCATTCCCAGCCTGTGTAGTAAGTCTGTATTAATTTCTGCTTCTCTACAAGCAAATAATTCCATTATCTTCAGCGCAATTAAAAGTTCTTTCAAAATTTTTTGGAGTTACACCAATGACTTTGATTGTTGCAAATAAATCAATCTAAACTAAGAAACCGGAAGTAGTTTGGGTCTGTTACTACCAAAGGGTATTTTAAGGGATGTTCCAGGGTATCACTTGACGATACGCCAATAGTAGATCTTAGATGTTGTGTCAGAATCTTGCCCTCCCAAAATAAAAACTGATACAAATCAAGATGACACTGCAGTGATAAAAAAGGAGATACCCTTGCTTTATTTTTTGCTATATAGATAAAATACTTAAGGAATTAAATGCCACAACTGTGCTTTTGGTTTCTATATAATATTGTGAAATTAACTCCTGTTTAGGAAAATGGTCATTGGCCCAAGTCTACCATTCTTGCTTATCTTTCAACCTTTTCCCTAGGTCTCACTTAGACACCATGAGGGAAGTGTTTGCACAGGGAGTGCCCAGGCTGGGGAGGGAGGGGAGATGAAACAAGGTCTAGACTTACAGTCAGAGAAGCTGTCGGAAAATCAAGATTTTTTATTTTATTTTATTTTATTTTTTTGCTTATAAAAGTGCCTAGACTTAAATTTTACCCATTTCTAACTCTATTCAATAGTAAAGAAGCTACCTGCAATTTATTTTAGGGGTCTTACCCAGCAGAGAGGTCTCAGTTGGACTGCTTACCAGCTAAGACAAAAGCATGAGCTAGGCTGGGGAAGCCCAGGGGAGGCCACTGCAGGAAAGACCCTGGATGCGATGGCTTTCCCACTGCCTGCTGATGCTCTGGGCCCACCACCTCCAGCAGTGCGCTCTATTCTGGCACTTTGCTGGGGTCATCATGTCCATCCAGCTTCACACTGCTTCAGGAGAGGGAATCCCAGCAGTCCTAGTGACTCCACAGGGGCGGGAGGGAAGAAAGGATGGCATGGAAGCAGAGGGAGAGCAAGGCCCTACAACACCAGGCCGTAAGGCACAGAGGATGGGTATTTTGGTAGTAGTTAGTTTTTATTTACGGTTGCTTATCTATACAATTATGATATTGCTGTCTTACTGACCTATTTCCCTAAAATAGCAGCCACCAAGAGAGGTAAGTTTAGCAGTAATCTAAAACTTCAACTGTTTTTTGCAGTTAGCAAAACCAGCAAAATGCAATGCGCTGTCTCTCATTGTGATTTTCTGTACCTTTCTAGTAAGGGGTTTTTTCACGTTACTGTACTGCTGGGGACCATTATGTTACACAGACGCCTATATAGACAAAGAATGCTTATGTTTGTTGTCACTCAGTTTGTATTGTTAAGCAAACTTATTTGTTACCATAGAAACTTTTTTTCCCTTTAGCAAACCAGTTTTGTTTGGTTGGGTTTTTTTCCCTTTTCTCCAGAATCTGGTGTGGCCAGATAATCACCCTTTACACATAAACATCAAATGATACGACAAGTAATTTGCTTTAATTTCAGTTACTCGTTCTGCAGTTTAAAAAGGTAACCTTATTTTGAAGGTATCTTAGCAGACTACAGCAATTATTCCCCTGCATGCACACACCCAATACTATAGTGACAATAGCACTGGTGCTTTTACTGGCAACGCCAGCTTTCAGCTCGGGCCAGCCTGTGTGTCCTTTTTCACTAGTGATGCATAGTGCAGCTTAGAAACATCTAGTTTAGAGTTATTTTTACTTGCTCCATCTGAATTTCTTTGCCAGTTAAGAGGAAACCACACACACACAAAAAAAAAGAACATCACACTCCTTGTCAGATTTCTGGATTATAATTTTCCATCATCTGAAATAGGAATTCCCTGTACTGAAAACTCAAATGAATGAACTAGCAATGCTTTAAATCCCTATCTCCACCACACCCATATATATTTTCCTATCAACACCAAAGTAGGTCTGAATGGCAGATTTAACTCAAGTAACGTGTGCAGAAGAGGCTGTTTGTAAAACTAAGACATTTCCTGCAGACAGCTGGAGTGAACTCGCATCCCAGATGGCTGAGGGAAAGCAAGGAAAAGCAAGGGAAAGCAAGTACATTTCTGTACTCGTTAGTGCTGTTCTTGGCCACAGCACATCATATGCTGTAACCATCTACAAAGGATGCAATAGCAAATGATTCCTGATTTTTTTTTTAATAAAATGCCTCTGACCAGCATATAGTCTGATTGCAAAATTCAGCGCTCACAAATTAACACCACTACCCACCCCAGCATCATCTGACATCATGACTAAATACTAAGATCCAGTTGGGACACACACACACACACACAAAACAAAACTTGCTTTGTCATCATTACTGCAGCACTGATACATACATCAGCCTACCTAACTGCAGCAAGAATCCACATCGGATGTTGCCAGCAGGCAAAGCAGACTACCATTTATTTAAAAACAGCACTTGTAAGGAACACTTTGTAGTCTTTAGTGGGTAACAGGCCATCATAAATTTTCTGTGCTAATTCAAAACAAAAACCCACGCAAATCTATCCCTACACATGTCTCAGATTTGTTTATATAAAACTTGGTAGGAGAGTATTCACACCACAGTTAAATACTTTCTCAGAGATGTTACCTGTGAAGAGGATGAAGAAGTATTCAGATTCACAAAGACAGTAATGAAATTTATCTTTAACAGTGTTTACTGAGGTGCTGGCTGTACCACATTTAATTGTGCAAAATGAACAGGTACCTATAACAGATGTAGGTGACACTCAGGTCCTTAGAAATGAAATTGCAAATAAACAGAGAAAGGACCTTATCAAAATCACTTTTAATTTAGTGCTATTTAAAATTTTAATTTTCACATAAAAATTTTGTGAGGTCAGGAAGATTCTTTCTATCCTTTTTGCCAGCTCCTAAGTAGCCCGTGACAAGGCTATTTACTACTTCAAATTTAATTGTAACAAGAAAGTGTTTTGTAAGAAAGGCCTCAGCATTACCCAGAACGTGAATGATCAATCTGCATAATTACCATTTTGACTGAAATTTTCCTAAATAAAGCAGCCCTTTTACTTTGGGGACTCTTTCTACAAACAGTGCAAGAAATAGCTATAAAAAGACTGAAAATGAAAGAAAAATAATTAAGAGAATTTTACTGAAATACAATAGAAATACGTTATTTTTTTTAGTATCCTTTTAAGCACTGCTTGGATTTTCTTTTCTTATGTCCTTCAACAGGGGTATGTATGGGGTGTTGCTTACAGATTGCCACCTGGACAAGAATGTGAAGTAAAAGCATACCTGGACTTCAGAGAGAAAGGAGGCTACAGGACTACAACTGTCATTTTCTATCCAAAAGACTCGTCAGTAGAACCGTTTGATGTGTTGTTATACATTGGAACTTGTGACAACCCCGACTACCTTGGTCCAGCACCTCTAGAAGAAATTGCTGAACAGATTTTTAATGCAGTTGGTCCTAGTGGAAGAAACACGGAATACCTTTTTGAACTCGCTAATTCTATGAGGAATCTCGTACCAGAAGATGAAGATGAGCATCTCTTCTCTTTAGAGAAACTAGTAAAGGAACTGTTGGAAAAGCATCAAAACCTAAATTGTCTATAAAATAACTTCTTACTTGTAATGATCTTGCTTCATCTTTAGAGGAATGGTTTCACTGCACAACGGGTATATGACTTGGAGGCATGTTTCTCCGTACTAGGCTATCTTGTTTATTTTAATATTGCATTCAAAATAGTAGTTGGTCATTAAAACATACTGTTACGAAAATAATTCAGGAGTCTACAGAAAGGGGAGCAGGAGAAGTGTTTTAGGTTTGAATTTGGTATATTGGGTTTTTATCCAAAGATTACATCTTTATGAAAATCTCAAGAGAACAATTTAAGCTTCTCTTTGTTTGAAGATTTTTTTAATTATTATTAATATTATTTCAGGTTTAAAATAGATCTTTAGAATATTTTAAAGATCAAAATCTGCATTCAGATACAGCTCCCACTGATTTAAGTGCTAGTTCTTTCTGAGTCAAGACCACAGGCATGGAGCTCAGTGCATCTAAAGAGATAAGTAGTTGTGAATTGCACAGTAAATGCATAGTAGAACATTTATATCATCATGGTCAACTTCACTGAAATTAAGTTTTTCCACTGAATTAGCCATCTTACCCCTTATATATTAGTTTGTCCTTAAATGCAGAGGAGAAAAAGTTTCATTGTCAAGGAAATAATTCTTTCCCTTGGCTCATTTATGTCAAGCCCTGAAAACCAAAGCACAGGGTACTTTGACACAAACAAGCCGTAACGTATCAGTGCCTCATTTTATTTTTTAAGATTAACATAAAGAATAATGCCAGAATGTTAAAATGAACTGAGAGTATGACTTGAAGCCACAATGCAGCAAGAATGTTCAGAAACTCATCTTTGTTATTTGCCTTTAGATGCTGTTGTAACCCCATCGCTTAAAAAAATTCACCTATCTCTGAGGACAGGTTTTAAGCCAGTAATTTTCACCCAGTTTCAGGGATTCATGGACAAAAGGTACTTAGGAAAGGAACCTTCTTTTCAGTAAACTTACGTGTGTTGTATGGACATCCAAACAAAGAGCACTACAAAGCCACTAGTTCAGGCTAGTAGGCTTACTTTGCAAAACATAAGCAAACGGAATTTCCGTCCCAACAAAGACTTGTCTCGCTTGTCAAAAATCTGAGTTATTTTTGTTAACTTTTAACAAAGTATATTTTTGTATGTTAATAGAGCAAAGGTCCTATTTCAAATACCATGTAACGTCACATTTTCTCATACAGAGAACATCTAAGTGTTTAGTAGAGCCTGGAAGCCTATATTTTGTGTCAGTAATTGCAAAAAATGTATGTTTCTACTATACTGGTTGTCCCTTTCTCTTTACATTTTTCTGTTTTATATTTGTAATTGCTTGAAAATATCAGGGTTATCAAAATAACAAGCTGCTATTATTTTACTTGGCCACCTACAAAAGCCAACAGGAACATACATGCATGTTAATAGGAAACATTGGAGAAAGGCAGCTAGATGAGTAGAAAATAGGATCTTAAAATTCAAACCTAAATTCCAGATAATTAGACCACTTAAAATATTTAAACAAGATGTATTTTTTACATACCAGATTATAATTTTAGTGTGTTGCTGGCATCTCTCAAGCATTGATCCATTGAGGGAAAACAAAAGAGTATTAGTTTTTAGAAACTACTGTTTACTATTAATAGTTGAATGCCACTATTTTAAGAGTGGCATAGGTGATAGGGTATCACTCGATGGGCTACTCTAAACTGCAGAAGAAAATCCTCTGATCATATTAGCAAAATAATTGTATGTACTGAGGCCCCATTTTTCCATTAGTACGTAGGAGTTACTTGCAAACTGATGGACTGTCCTTCAAAAATCCTGATTCTCCACTGTACTGCTCCAGTTTAAAATTAACATAACTGAGCAGAAAAGCAACCCCAACTAATTCAGCTGTACAGCGGGAGAGGAGTTTGGTGGGAACTTCCCGGTGTCTGTACATGACCACAGTCATTCAGATGCTGGAAGCTGGAGTTGTTTGAGTGACTTCACACACCACAGATGGACAGTGATAACCATCACCCAAACCACCATTAATGACCATGCTCCATTATGCATGCATTTATCCACCTTGACTTAAAGAGTAACTCTTAAGTGTTACTGGACACTTAACTTTGATTAAACATGTTATCTATGATTTATTTCAGGAATATTTAAGTGTTGAATAGTACCCTCAGGAAGTGCTGCTGTTGGTTGAGTTTTCTTGTGCTTATTTCAGGTTTAAGCAAGCTGTAGTAAAGTTCAAACATGCACAATAGCACGTCCACTCTATGCATTTTTTAAAATTATTTCCTCAAAGACTTATCCTTGTTCCTTAAAACAGGGCAGGGACTGCTTACACTCACTAATGATCCAAAACCAGCAGCGATGATTCTCTTTAGAACGCTTATTTATTTAAGCACTGTGTTGGGGCATTGTGATTATGTATGGCTCTACATTTTGTATCTTTAATTATATTCAGGACATTGTTGGTTCATTTGCTTTCCAAATTCATAAAACTGGCAATAATATCTGTAATTATACATTCCAGTTTGTGCATACAACTTCAGTACAATAAAAATGCATCACATTTACTAATGGTGTTGGGGAAAGAAATTTCCAGAAATATTCTGTTTATTTGAAGTGTATCCATATTAGGATGGAATCAATGTGTGTCTTAATTGCATCCTGTTATAAAATGCTGTTAGATCTAATGATGAAAAACAGTATACAAGCGCTAGTTACCAGTATGCAGTCTTAAACTGTGTCAACATTAGGAATTAAGTAAAGCACAGGAAATAGACATTTGTTCTTGCTGTATGGGATTTGAGCCACAACTCTGCCTACAGCTTCAGTCACCAACAAAAGCCCAGTATGCTTTCAGATCTGTTACTCGCCACCCAAAAAATTAACATACACTTTTTACATGTCATATATGCTTAGGTTTGTGGGGGGTTTTTTCCTACTGGTTAGAACTAAATCTAAATTTGTGACAAATTATAGATTTTAGCTATGGTTTCATTATACAACCACACACACAAAGCTACCTCACCTTGTTTCCAAATAGTCATCCATGTTGTCAGATTTTACTCACTGGGATGCACAGACTCAGATCCCTGAGCAGTCAGCAGGCACCTCTGTCCTTCCACGCATGAAGGAAGCGGTACGTAGTTGTGTGTGACAACGGTCCTCCCGGTGTGTCTGCACAGTAAAATTTCTAAGGCCATCTGTAGGAAAGCAACTTGCCTAGCAGTTGGTCAAGTTACACTCTCCCTGTGATGCTGAAAGGGATTATCGTTGAGCAGTACATAAGCTGAAATATCTGTAAATTATTTTGGAATCTCCAAAATAAAAGCCTTATATTAATTTATGTTACAGGAAAAAAAAAAATGTAAGGTTTGTACAAAGACTGCAATAAGACAGTTTGATTTGATTGTGCTATAATGTGAATTAAAATAAAAAAGCAGATTATAAAAATAGCTTATGTATATATATCTGATATTCCTTAGTATGATTGATTAACTATTTGATAGCATGTCATTAAATATGCAATAATCTTCTGTGAATATATGAATGTATAGCCTGAATATGCAACATTTTGCTTTTTTTTTTTTGTCTAGCTTTTGATAATAAGCAGACTTCATACCCATTTTGACTGCCAGTGATAAAAGTAATGTGGTGTCTGACTCAATCATAAAACTTCTGTAAAGACTTGCATTTCTTAACACAAGAGAACTCATGGGCAAGGGAAATAAAAACATTCTTTGTAGGATCCCCAGTAATAATTTGTCTTTCCTTCTTCAACCATTTATGTGCTCTGTATTTCCCATAGATGAGCAAACAATGAAGATCAGATGGGACTGGCCTAACCTGTTCTAATTTGGAAACTCTGCTGGACCATTCAGGTATTCAGGTATATGTCTCTATATAGAGGTGCACAGAGAGAACTCTGGGTGCTTTTTCTACACATAAGCCTAGATTTTCTTTTAGTAATTGGTTATATTTAACAGCTTTGTGTATAAATTAATTACTGAAGTTTGGAGGGTCACAGATCTTTTCAAAACAAAATGAAGCTAACTGTCATGCCCTCACTACACAAAAAGAGGAATTGTTAATGATTTCCTTACTTTTGTATCACTGTATCTTTATCCCCACTTTCACGCTCTCAAATTTATTTTTTTCACAAGGCTACCTAAAGACCAGGCTCCTTCTAGACTAGGCTGCTTTCCAGAAACTAAACTTTGACTGAAATCCTTCACAAAGATAACTAAAGTACAGCTTAGTCATACAGAAAAATGCAAAGTTTGGTAATTCTTAAAATCACTTTAACACATTCAGTATAACGATTTTCAACACAAATGCAAGAATAACATCGTGTCATACTGCAGTTCTTTAACAACAGACAAAAAAAGGAAAACATACAGTCTTAAGAGAAGTTCTGCAAGTCTGAAAAGTCTGAACATTTCAGTCAGTTCTTCTAAAATATTAGAAAATATGTAAATTCTTAGGTTTTTAGTTTTAACAAGACACCTGTAGTTCATCCTTAAGCACCAAGGGGCCCATTGTCTGTAGCCTGTGCAAGTCCAGTGACCCTGTATGAACCATACAGGCCTTGCTAACGACTGTGCCCTTGAAAAGGAGCTAAAAGACTGATAAGAGGAGAACATCCTGCCCTAGAAGGCACCAAAAGCTGGATAAGTGCCCGAGAACGATGAAGTCAGCAACAACCTGCAGAAACTGGGGGAAATTTCGGTCAATGCAGCAGGGGGACATCGCGGCCACCGACTCAATTAGAGCCTGAACAGACTGATCCCCCAGCCCTGTATCCGAGCAGGTGCTGTGCAGTTTGTGTGCATGAACTGAACTCTGACAAGGTAAGCGAGAGAAGCTGAAGCCGATCCTAAAGTGGAATAGTAATGCCTGTGGATAGTGGGTGGAACAAGCTCATCAATGATGTATAAATGTGTGAACTGGATTTGTGGTGACGCACCCCTCGCACCCAGCGCTGAATAAAGAACGCTTGCTTCTGAG